CTTTTTTATCTGAAATTTAGATTTAACTGGGTATCCTGTGTTTGATCTGACACCTCCTACCCAGGCCAGTCTTCCACCTGCTCTCCTTCATGTACCCTCCTGATTTCTGCGTAGCCTTTTATGCTGGATCATCTCTCCCAACTCCAGTGCTTCCTTTTTTCTTGACCTTCTCCACAAACATTTAAACATCCTGAGTTCTGGGCATCAACTTTTAGATGCCCCCCCCCCCCAAAAAAAAAAAAAAAACAACCAACCTCACTGCCATCGAGTTGATTCTGACTCATAACGACACCCATTGGGTTTCCAAGGCTATAAATCTTTACAGAAGTAGACCGCTTTATCTTTCTTCCATGGAGTGGCTGGTGCGTTCAAACCACTGACCTTTTGGTTAGTAGTCAAATGCCTAAACTACTACACCACCAGAGCTCTTTTTAGATGACCCAAACCAAACCAAACTCACTGCCATTGAGTTGATTCTGACTCACAGTGACCCCCTTTGGGTTTCTCAAGTGGTAAGTCTTCATGGAAGTAGATTGCCCAGTCTTCCTTCCCCAGAGTGGCGGTTAGGTTTGAACCATCAACCTTCTGGTTAGCAGTCAAATGCCTTAGGCACTATGCTACCAGAGCTCCTTTTCAGATGCCCCAAGGATACTCCAAGTCAATACATTTCAAAATGTGATCTTCTCCCTCTAACCACCTGTATCCCAGCCAGGCAAACAAGCCATTACCAAGTCCTTGGTAGTTTTACTGATTTTTTTTTCCTCCAGTCTACTATATACTATATATTACTATAGTAGTAATGATAATAACAAACATTTATTAACTGCTTACTGTGTGCCAGGCTCTGTGCTAACTTGGTTAGGTTTTAATCTCGGTTTTACGGTTGAGCAGACTGAGGCATAGAAACATTAAGTACCTTGCGCAAAGTCACACAGCTAATCAATGATGAAAGGGCTAAGAGCCCTAGTCAGCCCAATTTCATAGTCTGCTCTTCACAGTTGTCATCCATACTTCAAATCTTATCATTTCTTGCTTCTTTGACTGTAGTGGCTGTCTCTCTTGGTATACAGTTTGTCCATCTTTCCATGTTTGTGGCTGTAGCAAAGTTGTTTTTTTAAATGTAATATTTGATCAATACAAAAGTACAGGTAGTATATGAAAAATGGATCAACATCTTGTGAGATAACCATACAATAGAATACTACTCAGCAATAGAAATGAATGGACTATTGATATACACAATGTTGTTGTTGTTGTTATGTGCTGTAGAGTCGGCCCCAACTCATAGCGACCCCTCCTTGGGTTTCTGAGGTAGTATCACTACAGAAGTAGGATTGATTGCCCAACCTTCCGTCCAAGGAGTGGCTGGTGGGTTTGAACCACCATCCTTCTGGTTAGCAGTCAAGTGCCTTAGGCACTATGCTACCAGAGCTCTTGATATACACAATAGGATGGATGAATTTCAAAATAATTTTGCAGAAGGAAAGAAGCCAGACAAAAGAGGGTACACATTGTCCGATTCCATTGGCATGAAATTCTAGCAATGCAAGCAAATCTCTAGTGATGAGAGGCTGGGATGTTCAGGGATGAGAGGGGCATGGGAAGAGGGGAGAGGGAGGATTGTGAAGGGGCACAAAAACACTTTTGGGGGTGACAGATACGTTTACTATCTTGATTGTGGTAATGGTTTCACAAAGGTATACATATGCCCAAAGTGACCAAATTCTACACTTTATGTGCAGTTTGTTGTATGTCAATTATTTCTCAATAAAGCAGTTTAAAAATATATGTAATGATCATACTCAATTGGCATAACACACTACACAAAAACAATGTTCCACCTCTTACTTTGGTGAGTAGTGATTGGGATCTTAAAAGCTTGCAGGCAGCCATCTAGATGCAATGATGGGTCTCTCCTCATCCAGAGCAAAGAAGAATGAAGAAAACCAGGGACACATGGAAACAATTAGTCCAAGGGACTGGCACACCATGCGGTCCTCAGCCTATGACTATGAGACCAGGAGAACTAGATGGGGCCCAGCTACCACTGTCAACCACTTGGAGGGGGATCTATGTAGGAGATCTTGGCTAGAGTGGGAGAACAATGTGGAACAAAACTCAAAATCATAAAAAAAGGGGGGGGGACCAGGTTTGCTGGTCTGATAGAGCCTGGTGGAACCCCTGAGACTATGGCTCCTAGCTGCCCTTCAGGTCTGGAATTGAACCCACTCCCATGGCTTCCAGCCAAACAAAAGACAGGCATATGAACTGAACATCTACATTAGGTAGATACACTCCTAGGAGCTCTGGTAGCGTAGTGCCTAAGGGACTTGACTGCTAATCAGAAGGCTGGCGGTTCAAACCCACCAGCCGCTCCGCGGAAGGAAGATGGGGCAATCTACTTCCGTAGTGATACTGCCTCAGAAACCCAAGGAGGGGTCGCTATGAGTTGGGTCTGACTCCATGGCACATAACAACAACAATAGATACACTCCTTGGAGAGATCAATCATGGGAGAATAGAAGGGCTTTGTATACATAGGAAGACAGCTTGGGGGGCAGGAGTGCATGGGAGGGAAGGACACAGAGAAGAGGTAGCTATGGGGAGGAAGTGGGAGGAGAGCTGTTGCATTGTGGGAGATTACAGTCAATGTTGTGAGACAAAGTGTGTGTGAACTGCTGTATGGAAGATATGTATATATATATATACACACACATATATATATGGACATATATATATATATATGTCCATATATATATATACATATATATATGTGTATATATATATATATACACATATATATATGTAATGTATATCTAAGCTAAGAAAGAATAATATTGTGAACACCAATGAACCCATCCCCAGATTAAGAATGTGAACATCACCAACACTGTTGAAACCACCTGGAGCTCCTCCCATGCTCCTCTCCATATCTTCTCTATTACCTAGAATTGTTTCTTTCCAAGTCTTTGCTTTTGTTTGATTTATACCATATAGGCTATGCATATTTTAAAAATTTAGTACGTAGTTTCCCCTGCTTTGAAGTTTCTATGAGAAGTGTCATGCTACATGCAGTCTTCTATAATGAGCTTTTTTTCACTGTTTTTAGGATTCATTCATGTAGTTTCAGATAGCTGTAGTTCATACATTTTCACTGTTGTATAATATTTCATTGTGTGACTTATTTATCCATTCTTTAGTTGATGGGCTCTTTCAAGTTTTTTACTACTACTAACAATGCCATAGGAGCTCTGATGGTGTAGTGGTTAGAGCATTTGGCTGCTAACCAAAAGGTCAGTCACTTGAACCCACTAGCTGCTCCATGGGAGAAAGATGAGGCAATCAGCTTCTGTAAAGATTTACATACTTGGAAACCTTGGAGGGCAATTCTACTGTGTCCCATAGGATCACTATGAGTCAGAATTAACTCCATGGCAGTGGGTTAACAATGCTATTATGAATACTCTGCTATTAATCTATATCATGGGACACCTGTACAAAAGCTTCTATAAGGTAAATAACTAGTTATGAAATAGCTAGGTACAGGATAATCCTGTTCAACTCTACAAGATAATGCCAAATTGATTTTCAAAGTGGTTGTACCAATTTATACCCCTCCAGCAGTATAAAAAATTATATTCTCTTTAATTCCTGGTTTTCCCTTTTTGTCTTTCAAGTGAGTATGATATGGTATCACAGTGAGGCCTTGATTTTACCTTTATCTAATTACTAATGAAGTTGAATATCTTTTCATACATTTATTTGCTTTTGCTCCCATTTCTGTGAAACATCTGTTTATGGTTCTCTCCTTAATTTTCTTTTGGATTCTTTTGAATCCCTTTGAAATTACTTTTGTATTCTGGGTACTAGTCCTTGGTTAGGAGCTCTGGTAGCATAGTGCCTAAGGCACTTGACTGCTAACCAGAAGGCTGGAGGTTCAAACCCACCAGCCACTCCTCGGAAGGAAGGTTGGGCAATCCTACTTCTGTAGTGATACTGCCTTGGAAACCCAAGGAGGGGTCGCTATGAGTTGGGGCCGACTCGACGGCAAAAAACAACAACAACAGTCCTTTGTTGGTTGTATGTACTGTAACTACCCTGGTTTGGGTCCAGGTGGGGCATGCGGTGAGTGGGTGCAGGTGTGTTTCCTCTAAAGGCACCAGTTACTCCTCAGCTTCAGTCAGTTGTTGCCATGTAGAAATATGGATCCAGTGTGATCATGTCTTCCAACTGAAAAAAAAAAAAAAAGATTTGTACAAAACCCCCCAGTTTAAAAATGCTGCCCAGATATACTCTGTTTAGCATGAAAGAAAAGGTCTAACATGGAGTCTCTCACAAGGAAGGAACTGCAGAGGAGATTGAGAAGGAGTGGCCAGCAGGCATAGGAGGACAACTGGAAGAGCTATGTCATGGAACAGAGTGTGAGAGCATTTCTAGAAGAAACTCAGCAAGTGTCAGACACTGCAGAGAAGCAATCCTCAGGCCTGAGGGTAGAGGTTTTTACTTTTGTTCTACTACTATATGCACCAGTGCTTGAAGTTCCTAGAGTTTTTTTTTTTTTTTTAAATTCCTGAGAACTAATAGCATTTTAAAGTTAGTTATTGTAAGCAAATTCTGAAGATACAGTTGAAATATTTAGTCTCTTTGGAGTCAAGTTTTAAGACCAACAGAATGTGTCTTTCTCCCAAACTGACCATCATTTTCTTTTCTTTACAAACAGGAGTCTATGCCCGGCAGAAAGTTCAAGAAAACATGTTAGAAATATGTGCTTGTTAAATTGGCCTTGTCCTGAATTTGAAAGCATTGTTTTTGATTGTTATGAACAAAATCTACTGTGTAAATATATCACCACCACATTCGTGGGGCATTAGGCCAGTGGGTGGCATCTTAGGGAGTTAATTTAGAAGGAAAACTCAGGATTTATGCCTGCCTGGGGCCAGGGATAGTCATCCTTTCTTAGTGGACAAGTGACTGATACTCTTGTTTTCTTTCTTTGCTAGTTAAGTGTATATGGAAACTCCAGTTGGCACTTTGATGAGGTGCGAAAGCAATGTTACTTTCACCAATTTATGAAAGAGCAACCTGATTTGAATTTCTACAATCCTGATGTTCAGGAAGAAATGAAAGTGAGTATAAACACCCACACAGACTTCTCCATTACATGGAGGCTTAAATGGTTACTTGAAACACTTCTTTTGTTGTAAAGCAGATCAAGTGGTGTAATTGAATTCCAGGATTATGGTGTCTGACGCAAATATAAGCACTCAGATGTGGGCTCCTTCCTCAGTCTAAACCAGAATAATTGAAATGGGAGGGGGGCAGAAACCCCAGCTACCTTAGCTCCGAGTTGCCCCTCTGCCCCTGACAAGGAACTGGTGCAGTGAGGTGGGTCGGAGTGTGGCCTCTGGGATCTGGCTCCCCATTTGGGCCCAGCTCCACCTCTGGGTGCTGCAGGCCTTTGGGGGAGTCATCTGGCTTTTCTACATCTCAGATCTCTCACCTATGAAGCATGATTGATAGCAGTATCTATTTAATAGAGCTGTTTTGAAGATTCAAGGAGATAATCCATGCACAACACTTCTGTGTTCACTCAATACTCATTCAATGAATATTAACTTATTTCTTACTCTGTGCCAGGCCCTGTTCTAAGCACTGGGAATGCAGCACAGAATAAAAGAAGCTCTGCCCTCAAGGAGTTACCAATACACTGAAGCAAAGGCTGACAATTAACTAAACACATAGTATGTGAGGTGGTGGTGAGTGATCAGGATGAGGGACATTGGACTGCCAGGGAGAAGTTGCTTTTTCATTTAAGGAGTTTAGGAGTGACCTCTGTGATGAGGTAGATGGACAAAGACCTCAAATTTGAAAGGAAGCATGTGAATATCTGGTGGAAGAGAAAGTCAGGCAGAAGGAATAGCAAATTCAGAGGCTCTAAGCCAGTGTGTTTTGTGTAGTTCAGGACAAACATAGAGGATGGTTTGTAGGATTACCAGATTTAGCAAATAAAAATACAAGGCATCCAAACTAAATTTGGATTTCAGGTAACACAATGGGTAATACAATATTTGACATGTTGTTATTGTTATTTGCCGTCGAGTCAGCCCTGACTCATAGCAACCCCCCTCCTTGGGTTTCCAAGGCAGTATCACTACGGAAGTAGATTGTCCCATCTTCCTTCCTAGGAGTGGCTGGTGGGTTTGAACCACCAGCCTTCTGATTAGCAGTCAAGTGCCTTAGGCACTACGCTACCAGAGCTCCTATTTGTGACATACTTATACTAAAAATTATCCTTTGCTTATCTGAAATTCAAATTTAACTAGGTGACCTGTGCTTTATCTGGCAGTCCTACCTGTGTGAAATGAGGAGAGTGAGGGAGCTGAGGCCTGAAGTAAGTATGGGGCTTGGATGCTATTGTGAGGACTACACGCTGAGCCACTAAAAATTCCTCTGTGGCTCTTTGGAGAGGAGATTGCTGGTGGTATCAGCAAGAAGGAGATTGATGCGTAGAAGACTACCACAATGACCCAAGTGAGATCTGATGTGGCTTGTCCTATGTGGTGGTGTTTACATTATCTGACACATTAAACAACAACAACAAAAAAATTCACTGCCATCGGGTCGATCCAATTCATAACTGGCCCCTTTGGGTCTCCGAGGTGGTAAATCTTTTCGGAAGTAGATTGCCCCTTCTTCCTTCCATGGAGCAGCTGGTGTGTTTGAACCACCAACCTTCTGGTTCGCAGCCAGATGATAATTAACAACAAATATTAGCCATTGTTGTTATACCTCTTATTGTGGTACAGTGGTTATAGTGCACAGGAGTTCAGGTGATGGGTACTGCTCTGACGTAGGTAGTCAGGGAGGAAGACCCCCCCAAAAAAGAGCTGTGGGTCCTTTTCTACAGTTCATGATGCCAGCCAAACTGAGAAGCTGCAGGCTGCCATGCTAGACTCACTAGGGGCACAGACAGACCCCTTAGTTTATTTTCCTGTTAGTTTTTTTTAAATAGAAGCTTTATTGAGATGTAATTCACATACCATAAAATTTACCTTTTTAAATTGTACAAAGTATATTTTAAAGTACACAGAGTTTTACAATCATCACCACTAATTCCAGGACTTTTTCATCACTCCACAAAGAAATCCCACACCCATTAGCTGTCACTCCCCATGACCCCTTTCCTCTACCCTCAGCCCTGTGGCAACCACTAATCTACTTTCTGTCTCTATGGATTTGTCTATTCTGAACATTTCATATAAATGGAATCAAATAATACGTGACCTTCTGTAATGGCTACTTTTATTTTTTCAAGATTCATCTATGTTGTAGCATGTATCAGTTGGTCATGTTTATTTCTTTTTTATAGACAAATAATATTTCATTGCATAGATTTACTCCTTTCATCAGTTGATGGACATTTAGGTTTTTTCCACTGTTTGGCTTTTATGAACCTAATGCTGTGAACTGTTGTACATTTTTTTTTGTGTGTGGATATATGTTTTCAATTTTCTTGGGTCTATACCTGCAATTAGAATTGCTGTGTCACATGGTAACTATGTTTACTCTTTGAGGAATTGCCAAACTATTTTCCAAAGCTGCTGTACCATATTACATTTTATCAGTAATGTGTGAGCATTCTAACATTTCCATGTCCTCGTCAACACTTTTTATATCTTTTTGATTATAGTCATCCTAGTGAGTGTGAGGGAGCTCTGCTAGCATGGTGCCTAAGGCATTTGACTGCTAACCAGAAGGCTGGCGGTTCAAACCCACCAGCCACTCCTCAGAAGGAAAAGGGAGGCAATCTACTTTCATAGGGACACTGCCTTGGAAACCCAAGGAGGGGTCGCTATAAGTTGAATCCAACTCGATGGCAGTGAGTTTGGTGTTTGGTTAGTGAGTGTGAAGTGTTATTTTTTTGTGGTTTTGATTTTCATTTCTCAGATGGCTAATGACCTTCTCATGTGCTTGTTGGTCATGTTTATGTCTTCTTTTGAATAATGTCTATTCAAATTCTTTGCCCAATTTTTAATTTTTTTTTTAATTATTATTATTGTTGTAGGAGTATATTCTGGATACATGATTTGCAAGTATTTTCTCCCATTTTGTGGCTCTCATTTCACTTTTGTGATGCTGTCCTTTGAAATACAAAAGTTTTTAATTTTGATAAAATCCAATTTATCTATTTTTCTTTGTTGCTAATGCTTTTAGTGTCATTTAAGAAGCCATTGCTTAATCCAAGGTTACAAAAACTAACTCATATTTTCTTGTAAGAATTTTACAGTTTTAGCTCAAAATTTAGGTCTCAGGTCCATTTGCCATGAATTATTGTATGTGATATGAGGAAGGGGTCAGTTTTAGTTATCCACTTCTTCTATCCCAGAAATACCACAAATGGATGGTGTGGTAGTTATGTTGTGTGTCAACTTGGCCGGGCCTGGTTTTGAGTAGCTGGGCAGCTGGTTGTAGTTATTCCCCATGATGAGATTGGTAATCAACTCCATGGTGGAATCTACTGGAACAGCTGAGTAGCTGCCTTAGGGATGTGGTCTGCTTCAATATATAAGGAGAAGTTTTGAGAAAGGTCTCTGCAGCTTTTTGCTTGTTTGCACCCTGCATATCTGAGTCTTCATTTAGCAGCCTGCTGTGTTGTCTGCTGATCTTGGGACTGTCTCTGGACTTGAAATAGTGGCCTGCTGTGTTGTGTGGTAATATTGGGTCTGTGCCTTTTTACTTATCAATCTTGGGCTTGTTAACCTCAGCAGCCAGCAGCTACCTGAGTGAAGGGACACCCTAACTCCAGTAAGCCTAGAGCAAGAGGCAGAGCTAACGCCCAAAGTTGAGGGGCTTTTATATAGCCCCTAGAGCTGGCATTTTGAACTTGGACTCTAACTGTAAGAAAAGGAGCTCTGTTGGAATAGTTGATAAGGCATTTGGCTGCTAACCAGAAGGTCAGTGGTTCAAACTCACCAGCTGCTCCACGGAAGGAAGATGGGGCGATCTACTTCCATAAAGATGTAAAGACTCGGAAACTCAATGAGGGTAGCTATGAGTTGGATTTGAGTAGGTGACAGTGAGTTTGGTTTTGGAAATAAGAAAATAAGCTCCTGTTTGTTAAAACCACCCATTTATGGTTATTTCTGTTAGACTGGCATGAGGAAACCAAAAGAGATGGCTTTAACTAACAGAAATTTATGTTCCCACAGTTTAGGAGGCTAGAAGTCCAAATTCAGAGTGCCAACTCAAGATGAAGTCTTTCTGTCTGTGGGTTCTGGGGGACAGTCCTTGCCTCTTCAGCTTCTGCTTCCTGGTTCCTTGGAGATTGCCATGTGTGTTGGCATCTATTTTACCCCACCTCGCTTTTTGCTCTCTTGTTTAATCTTTCTCTCTCTCTCTCTCTCTTTTTTTTTTTTT